CTTTATACCACTCACACTTTATCTCTCTCGCTATCTCTCTCTCTCTCTCTCTCTTACTCGTTCTCCCCTCTTTTTTCTATATATGTATAATAAAGTGTTTGCGACTTTTTCATTGCTCACGTACGATTTTCATGACTGACTTCTTATGCTAAGGTTTGCATTTAGCTTTAGCTTTAGGTTTCAGGTCATCCCAAAAACGTGTTTGTGTGTATGTGTGTGCGTGTGTGTGTGTGTTGCTCAGCAAGTGCTTTATTTCATTAAGTTCAGCTTCACTGCCCTGATCTGCCACTAAAAATCTTTTCGCTCAACTTTTGCGCTTAATATCCCGTTGTGTGTTTGATGCGGTTTTGTGGCTCTTTTTATAGTTTCTTTCATTTCAGCTTCAAACGTCGTCTTCAATTTGCTTATAAAAAGGATGCCGCCGTTTTAGTTGAGTTTTTTTTTTCTTTTTTTTCTTTTGCCTTTCCATTGTTGTTTCTCTTAGCATATTTATGTATTTATGAGGCCAGATATAGCTTAGACGTATACTATATAAATATGTTGTGTATACATTAAATAGGCACGCCCTGCATTCTAAGCGTGTTGTGATACCCTGTTGCTGTTTCTAATGGAAGTGTTGGGAAGAGATGGGGTTGTGTGGGTAGGGGAGAAACATATAAGAATGAGGAGCTATAATGAATATATATCGCATTTTTAATCTCGAATTGCTAGATTGCCAATTAGTTAAATATAATAGATATTAGGTAGATATTTTATATAGATATTAGGTAGATATTTTATATAATTTTTCAAAATATATTCAACAATCACATCATATTCATATACATACTTTAAACATCTATTCGACCTCACATTTCATATTGCTTCTATATTCAAATATCTAGCGTATCTGCAGCTTCTACTCCTCTACGATTCACAAGGCCAGTTTCTTGTGTTTTTCTTTAGTGCTCACTGGGGCAGACATTCCAGCGCCGTCTGCATATAGAGCACACAAGAATTTTGCTTTTTGGGTAAGGAGCCGGCCCTAGCTACAATTTTCGAATAGCAATAATATTTTTAGCCCCGAAATATTTGCAGCAAGGCGCGCGCTCCAAGCTTCACGTCTCTCTGCCTCGTTAAGTCTCTCTATAGATATCTATATATATATTTGTAGGTAGGCCCAGTCTGTGGCATCTTATTTTTATGCGGGCGTCATAAATTCCTATTAATTCGAAATGGAAAATTTTGTAAAATGTAAAAATTCCCCTCAGTTATATGCATGGAATTTATTTGATTAATATTTAATTTGCAAATGCTTTGCATTGATGCGGTGAACACACACCAAAGGTGCGGTCCAGGTGTGCAGCGAGTATTTTAATAACAAATAAGTCGTAACATTTTTTCGCTCTCACCGAGCTAATGAAATTCTATGAATGAAATAGAGATGGCCGGCAGGCAGGACGAGGAGTGGGGTGGACCAAGAATCCGGCCGGACAAACAACACACAAATATAACGAAGAGGGCCCACTCAAAGTTAGCTTTTGGGCTGTTGTTGTCCGTCCGTGTGTTTCCGGGCTGCCAAAAACGATTAAGATTGCTATAAATTCTAATTACCAGAGAATTACGAGTTGGAAAATTACATTTTATTATATGATAAAAGTTAAGCTTCAACTGGACGACGATAATGTATACTGAAATAGATTTACATGCGTATTCCCAAGCGCAAAAGAGCGAACCACAAACTCCACTTAATCATGTGTCCGCCGTCGACGACGACTGCCAGTGAACCAACCCAAGCCCCAACCACCCAACCACACAGCCACCCGCTTTTCAACTGTATTTAAGTGTCAGAAGTGCAATTTATTTTTATGTTGTGTTGCGTTGCTTTGCCAAAAACAAAAAAAAAGTAGAAGAAGAAGCAGCAGCAGGAATAGAATATATAAAAATCCAGCAGAGCCAGATCCAGAGCCACAACAACAATACAAGGCATAAGCAAAGGTTAGTTGTGGGTGGTGGTGCTGCTGCTTTGGCTGTTAGTTTGTGGTGCTTCGGTCAGCAGCTGTGGCAATAAAAATCCAACTGAATCTCGAGTCGCTCTCTCTCTCTTTCTCTATCTCTGTTCCGCTGCGCACTGCATGAAATGTGTTGATATATGTGAGAGATGAGCCAGACGGGCTCGACTACGTAGAAGAAAATAATACAAAAATAACAAAAACAAAAGCAAAACTTAACAATTTCGTTTTGGGGTAGACACATTCTAATTGTACATGATTATCTAGCAATTTACCAGTAATTGCGTGCTACTGCAAATCAGTTTCAACTATGTTTATGACTCTTACGATTGCTCCCAGCTGCAATAAGTTGAACTTGAATTGGTTTAGTTTGCAGTGGCATTTGCTGAAAACTCGTTATGATTGCTTCATGCAAGTTATTTGAATGGTTTAGATATATGTTTAATATATTGATTTGGGTTGAGTAGCATTAAAGCTGACTTATTAGACTAATTGCTAATGTTATTGATCAGCCAAAGCTTATGAAGCATACAACATGTTTGATGGGAACAATTGCATAGACTCATTATATTTGCTAGACAGGTCTAACTTTGTATTTGCTCGGGTGCCTTACTCTCCGGGTAGATTAACTAACGATAGTCACAGCATAACGCCGAGCGCTCGCCTGAGTTGCTTCTATATATACATACGATATAGATGAGAGAGAGAGTAAACTCTTCAATACGCAAAATAAATGTATGGCAAACGTCATATTTGCTCAGTTCCCAGAACTGCTCACAAGTATTACTGTAGTTCTATGCTTGCTTCTGTCTGGACTCTGCTTTATGATCTAATCAATGTTCCCTGCGTTATACTCTACACTCTCAACTTTACGCTCTAGTCTCTACTCTCTACACTCTACACTCTACACTTTACACTCTATACTCTATACTCTATACTCTATACTCTACACTCTACACTCTCAACTTTCAGCTCTACGCTCTACTCTCTACACTCTACATTCGACATTCTACTCTCTACTCTCTACTCTCTACTCTCTACTCTCTACTCTCTACTCTCTACTCTCTACTCTCTGCTCTTTACTCTCTACTCTCTACACTCTACACTCTACAGTCTACACTCTACAGTCTACAGTCTACACTCTACACTCCAAAATCTCAGCTCTACAGTCTACTCTCCACACTCCAAACTCTCAGCTCTACACTCTCAGCTCTACACTCTACACTCTACTCTGTAGTTTACTTTACTCTAAACTATATAGTCTACACTCTACACTTTATACTCTCTCTATATACTCTATGCTCAACCTTTCCTCAATGCTTCCATATGCTGCCGGCAGCATAGAGTCAAAGTCACTGATCAATCATGTGTTAGCCACATGCTGACAGCCAATCAATTAACTTCAATCCACACAACATGTTCAGTCGGTGGCCAAAACATGTGTCACCCTGTGCGCGGCAGCATGTATGCAACATATGCGCAACAAAGTCGCATTTAAGCCACAACAACAGCAACAACAAGAAACATGCAAAATTAATCGATGCACCGGCAAAGTCAAATCGATATGAACAAAGCTTAAAATAACAATTCACATTTATTATAAATCCACACACCCAAACATACAAACAAATATACAAACACACAGCAGAACTTAACTAATTGCAATATAATTTATTTATTTAGTAATTAAGTTGCATGCTGCAAAAGTTGTGCAGCAGCAGCATTTGCAAATGCCAAAAAACTAACTGCAACAATTTTCAAGTCACGTTTCGAGCAACTAATTTGTAAATTTTGCTCGGGCTACGTACGAGCGTCAGTTAGGGGCAGGTGGGGCCACGATTACCTGTGCCTGATAATCCTACGTGTGTGCGTCTGTGTGTGTATGTGTGTATGTGTGTATGCAATATGTCAAAGTTGAAGGCAAGAGACGGCAGTAGCTGGCTGACATGTGGCACGTGCGCGGTTTTGATGCCACATTCATACGTACAGTAGTCATTGCCAGCAGCGACAGCTAAGACCCATCAAAACGCGACAGCCAGCCAGCCAGCGAGCGAGCGAGCGAGCGGTACAGGTGCAAGTTTGATGATAGTTTTGTCAACTTAAGTTGCCCCATAATGAAGTTGCCCCAAGTAGCTGCTGTGTGGCACGTGCCACATAGCCTAACCTAGTGAATATATTCCATGATCCGCCCTCTCTTACTTCCCCCCTTCCATTATATCTCTCTAAGTGGCGCACATTTCCAATTGAATGTTGCATGCCACACACACGCTGCATATTTCATCAAAATGCAATTGTTTCAATTTAGGTTTCGCCACACTCGATGCCACTTGCAACAGCGAGAAGCAGCAGCAGCAGCAGCAGCATTGGCCGCATCATCCATTGTTGACCCTTTTTGTGTCTTGAACTTTGCGCGCTTGGCCAGCCAACCCAAGTGGGCATATATCTTTTGCACTCACTGTGTGTGTGTGTGTGTGTCCTCTGTGTCTGTGGCGCCACTTCTAACGAAATAACTATGCGACGTTTATTATTTTCGCCATTTTCTTTTACTGTTTTTTTTTTTTTTAATAATTCTTTTGTGCGCTTTTCATTTGGCGCATTTTATTTGCACAGCTCGTCGAGTGCTGCATATGTTTGCATAAAATTCCATAGAGTGTGCAGTATTTTTGACAGTATTTCTTGTTATTTATTTATGTGCTGAACGTGAATGCATTGAAAATTTAATTGAATGAAAAATGCTCGGAAAATTCATGCACTATGTTTAAGGCGTATTATTTACGCTCATTAGAAGTATTTTATAAGGTTTTTTTTATATCTATAATTTCATATATGTATATGTTTGTTCGGTGCTTTTTGAGTTTGCAAGTCTGAACTTTCTCATTCCAACATTTTCATTATTTTAAAAGCATATCGTTTACGCTCATTATTTGTTAAATAGTTTTTTGTCTGGTATTTTGTGTATTATTATGTAAATAATAACCACTTTGATGATCTCTCCAGCATATCTAAATATTTTTTTCATACTAAAAATTAATAAAACAATTTATTTACTTTTTTTGGTTTTCTTTTTTTTTTACATTTTTGGAATACACGCGCAGTCAACTGCCTTATATACATTAATATATATAGAGATAAAGGTAGAGAGATACAGTGAAATAAGTGATGGGGGAGGGGGCTTGACAGCGAAACCGTTTTGGGGTGGCTAGTTGATGTGGGGAGTTTGCAACAACAGACTGTCAAAGCAAAACTTAATAACATACGTGGGGCTCAGAGTATGTAAGCGGCTTTCACCAGCGATCCCTGTTTGCTCATCGAGTCCTTGTGCATCTGGTATTGGAGATTGTGCGGCGGCAGGCCGAGCAGTTTACGCAGCTTGTAGCCAATCTCCATGACGGCTGTTTCGTTGTGCCCGTTGGCGGTCCAAATTGCTGCAGCAGCAAAGTAAAAAGGGTTTGAGGGAGGTGGGAGTGGGTGGGAGGATTGGTTGAAAAACCTGATGGCTGGCAAAGCTCTGGGCCCAACATTCTGTCTACTTACAGATTTTGTTGCTCTTGCTGCGCAAGTTGATGACAGCGCCACAGATTTCCTCGGTATGCTGAACAGCCTCACCAATCAGTATTAACAGCTGCAACAAGCTTCATCGATTAGAGCCGGTCAGAGCTGGTCAGCTGGCAGACAAGCTGCCAATGGGCAACTTACCACGTCCAGCCATAGCTTGTCCAGCTCCAATTTGCTGCAGCGCCCGATGCTGATGACCCAACGACCGCCATCGTTATTCGTCTCATCTTCCCACATGGGTCTGTGCCAAAGCGAAAATTGAAAACTATTGTCAAATCTATCACATTATGGACTTATGGTAGTTGGTATGAAATAAGCATGTATGATATAAGGATCTTCTCTAGAAGTACTTCACACACATATACATACATATACATATTTACGCACTTAGCTCTTCATGGTTAATTGAAAGCAGATTTACGCCCGATTGAGTTGTCTCTTAATGCATGTACTTACTGTTCAAGCATGAGCTCTTGAATATGTTTAAATATAGATGTCAGATAATGTCTATGAGAGGTTGAGTCGGTAATGACCGACTGGGAAATACCCTAAAGATAACCGTGAGTGGATGAGATATCTATTTGCTGTAGAGAATTGTATTTTTGTAAATATATATTGTACTAATACAATAGAATCCGAAAAATTCAAAATGGAAAGGTGATCAGTTTTTTTTTTTTTCGATTTACACAGAAATTCAACTTTTCGAGAATTATTGAGAACGAATTTCTTTCAAGGAGATAGAAAATTTTCGGTTTATCGTGATTTAGAGGGATACGAATTATCGATACTCGACTGTATTAAAATATCTATTGGTTATTTTCGATACCAAATAAGTCTGTCATGTTATCGATAGTTTAATCAAATTTCTAAAATCTAGCTCTAAAAATCTATGTACGAGCCTGTGGACAGACAAAAATTAGAAATGGGTTTCATATGGCAGTTGATATTGATTATGAGGCACGTATGTGTATAAGGTTTAACACTTATAGAGCTTATAGGCACTTTAAATTGAGTTTAGATAATAAACTCAATGTAGATTTTTAACCCCCGTTATCTTCTACCCACACTTACTGTATGCCCTTTTTAAACAGCGAATAATCGCTGCCAATCTTGAGCTCCGAAGGCGGCTTTATATGATTGTATAGACTCCAGAAATCTTCGACCATATCGAAGCTAGTTATTTCATTTTGCATATCCTCCCAGCTCTTGCTGCGATCATTCTCCAAATACCACAATGTCCAGGTGTGCTCAAGTGGATGCTTAAAAGGTAAATGGACCAGCTGCTGCTGCTGTTGTTGTTGCTGTTGCAGCTGTTGCTGCTGTTGTTGCTGTTGCTGCTGCTGCTGTGGTAGTTGTTGTGTCGCCTTATTTAATTCGCCATCTGAGTAGGATTTGAGGTCCTGACTGGAACTGGATATCGCATCGGCCTGCACCTCAGTATCGCTGTCCAGCATATTAAAACTGTTCTGTTTGGCCAGAAGCATTCTCCTGAAATCTGCTTAAATTGAATTGCGATAAACATGTACAAACGTATTGTTGTGTATATACATACATGAACTGGTAAATATATATATAAATTGATATAAATATATATATTGCTATGTATATATATATACTGATAAAAATCTGCTACGTATTTAAAATTTTTAACGCGTCTTCTGTAATACTTTTTGCGAAATGGACGATATTTTAATTTCAGCTCGCGTCTTATTACTTTTTTAAGACACACTACATGAAAACTGCCTGCGTTCACTAATACACAACTAACACTATAATACTCTATACTGACAGCAGGCGCACAGCTCAGTTGGGTGGGCCGAATGTACACTGAGAGAAACGAGCTGTGAGTCTTATAGAAAATGTTATGACTCAAAAGTTGTTTCATGTTTTTTATTTATTACAGTAATTTTCGATTGCCGCATACTTTCTCTCAGTGCACTTTTGACATATACACTCATAGAAATGTCAGTTCATAATAAGTTAGCCATTCAACATCTTTAAGCACTCATCGCCGTAATCCAACACTAAACATTTTATTCCCTTATGAGTGGCAATTTCGCCTTGGCTGCTGTCGCCACTTGTTTTGCCTTGTTGTTTTTTCTTTTGTTTTTCGGTTACATTGCGATAAGATCGCTGTTGCTGTCGCGCCTTATGCCTTCCACATTCATATATAAAGCGTTAATTTTATGGCACAGAAAAATGGCGAAAACACTTTGCTAAGTTCATGTCCCCAGACGAACCAATTTATGCACTCACACATCGACCTGCTGTAGCGCAGGGCATTATACCCTCGAAATTTGTAGGGGGTTAATGGATATGTTGTGTAAGTGTTGGGAGATTTTTTGTGTGAAAAATGTTTTTTATTTTTATTTATGATATATTTGAATTATATTTGATTAATAATCTGATTTTTACATCATTTTGAATTTATTTTTTGTTTAATTTATTATTTTGTTCGAAATCTGTTAGAAGAACTGTTGGAATTGATGTAATGTTGATGTTATTATACTGATGATGTTATTACTATATTTGGTATATTAGAGCTACTATTAGTCTGTTATAAATTATGAATTATTACTTTAATTCTTCAATCATATTAAGTTACATAAATTATCAGCTCTAGATATGTATATATATACAGTGTTTATATTTAAAAACAATCTTTCAATTCATAACATTTATTATAATTTTTTTAATATTTTCTTTTATAAATATCTTATACAAAGTTTGAGCTTTACCCACTCTTTAATATCTCTTTAATCTTTTTCGTTTTTGTACACAAAAATTTTCTTTTGCCTTTAAGTCGTAAGCCTAAGACTGTTTTTTATTAGCTGCTATAAAATTCTCAAAAATAAAGCCGTCCTGGCAGTAACAAAAGACCGAAGCTAATAGTGCTGCATATGTCACAGGCCATAAATATTGAGAGGGCTATAAAAATGTAATATAATTTATCAATAATTTTGCTAAGGAGATCAATAATTGCTACAGCTGAAGCTGAAGCTGTAGAGACATAGAGACATTAGTCTAATAGGGATGCAATTTATTTATGAAATATGAAAGTTTTTTTTAGGAACAATAATTGATTCTTGATTGCTCTGCTTACTTGACTTGACTTGCATAAGAGAGCTTAAAAATAATTTGTTGAATAAGCTAGATCTATGTACTGAACAGCTTTTTCTTCAAGCAATAACATTTTTCGATTAGTATATAAAGTATAAAGTGATATATATATATAGGGTGATATATTTATATGATATATTATTGGATAAGATACTACAAGTGCTGCTCATATGTTAAATCCCGTTAAGCACTGTTCACTTAAGCACAAACTGTATCTACTTTTCTTTATTGTTAAATTTCACTTAATAGGTTTTCAGGGTGACCATGCGATTTCACAATTACTTGAGCCTTTTGTTCACAGTGAAGTGTCTGTCCAATCGGCGGGCTTCCTGTGATCGATCAAATTGAGTATGTCTGTTCATTAACTTCAACAAAAACAGCGAAAAAGTATGAGAACCTCAATCTCATGGCTTTTTTTATTCGTTTTTTTTTTTTTTTTTAATACGCGGCATTTACGTTAAAATTTTATTGCCTGCGTTTATATTGAGCCTGGTGGGCATTGGAATTGGAATTGGCTACGATTTAAAACTGAGTGCATCGGCATCTGTCTCTATCTCTCTGGTGGTTCACTCAGCTGTGGTTTCCGTAACACATTTAATGCCATTGTTTGGGTATTGGGTGGTTCACTGGCTAGCATTGCCAGCGATATGCAAGAGATATGCACAATGCACAGAAGGTTTACGATTCCTGCCACTCATCGACAGGATGCGGGATGCGAACGCATCATTTGGCTTGCCTCGCAGCATTTTGCTGCAGGCATAAGACACAGAGACAGACAAACAGACAGCCAGACAGGCACTTGTACCAATGGACAGTTGGACAGAACACACACAAAAAAGAAGAAGAAAATTAAAATAAAAAGAGCAAGTGAAAGAGAACGAAACAAAAGAAATGAGTCTATCTGCGCGCAGAGTTCGCGTGATATGAAATACTTTCGCGGTTTCTTTGGCTGGGGCGAGCACGAGCGCAGCGTACAAAGCAATTTGGCATCTGAAAAGCTGATGCCATTAAGAAAATAAAGTAAATACTCGCTATGTGTGAAACAACGAACGGATCTTGTATTTAAAGGCACAATTGTAATTGCAAGCCACAGCGGGAAAGATGTGAGTGAATCGAAGGATGGGGTAGATGGATGTGAGGGAGAGCAGAAGATTGATTAGATGTTGGTATGCTATGTGATGATATTGTATATATTTACATTTATGTATTGATGCTTAGCTATTGGGCTATTTCATATGGTGCTTATGTATAGAAAGGGCTTTAAGCAGTGTTTAGTCTACATGTTGAAGTTCTTATGGAATAGACATACTATGGACTAAGACAGAATCCGAAAAGGTGTTGAAATGAACTCTTCCAAAAGGTAATCCACTGTTAGATAAAGATTAGCTGAGTTCAAACTGAGAACAGAGTATGTCATAGTTAGGTGAACTCGACTGCAACCCAACAAACAACTTGCTGAAGATGGAACACAATATGGTAGAACGTAGTCAAAACGCTTTCTAAGGGCAGAGTACTCTTACTTTAAGCCTTACCATACTCAGTCAAAACATAATGAAAGCCTCTATCAAAGCAGCGTATGTCTAGTCTAACGAACTCTGTCCCCTGCTTAATTTTTGGTTTAACATTTTGGCCACGCAGTTACAAACGTCAATTGTCTGTTTGTTGCATTATCAGCGCTTTACGGCTCATTTGCGTTTTAAACATGTGTAAATAAGTTAAGGCGAGGCGTGTGCCCCACTCTCTCTCTCTCTTACTCCTTCACTCTATTCCTCTCTCTCTCTCTCACAGTATGACCCGTCAAACCACGAGCACGTCATGATTGCTTCATGGACAGGATATATGAGCTGACTGCCGGCAGGCTGTGGACCTGACAGCAAATGCGGCGTCGACTCATCGTTTTTAACACAGCCATGATTTATAAAATTTTCAAAAAGTAAAAAAAAAAAAAAAAAAAAAAACAACAACAAATAATGAAAATGCCAAACTGTTGCACTCATTCGCGCATATTTAATGTGCATAAATATTTTCACATATGTAAATTTTAATACACATACATACACGATGTAAAATATGTCAGTGGCGCCTTATTAAGCGCCCATTACTCATGCCACCCACACACACACATATATAAGTTTGTATATATATTAATGCTACCTATATGCATACCGATTTAAGTGCTCAGTTAGCACCACCCAAGCAGCCACCCACAGAGTATGGTCATCCGGGCTGTCTCTGTGGTCATGCAGTTGCAGTGCATGAATATGATGCCAGAGCCGCATTGTTGTGGCCAAATGTGGAAGTTATCTGTGGGAGGAGCCTAGGCAGCGCGGCCTCTATTAATAAATCACTTGTGTAACCAAAGAGAAATGATAATGATTTACTTTATTAAAAATGAAATGTACAGAAAATATTTTTACGAAATTCTTCGTTCAAATTGCAAGTTAATTAAATTGTATTAATATTATTAAAATGAAATAAAAATATATATTGAGTGAGAGAGAGCTCGAGCAATGCCAGTGGCTCTAAAACTGTAGGCAACTGACTGCCAAACTGTGAAGAGCAAGCAACATTATATTTAGTAGACCGTTTTAGTATATCCTTTGCATATCCTTCTGCGTGTACTTGTGTCTGACTGCACTATTCTATAGACACTTTCTCGTTCAGACAAGGCTTTTGGTTACTCTGCACTGCAGTTCTACACATATTTATGTATATAAGGAGTTATAGAGAGCAGCTCTTGCAGCTCTTATAGACACCACCATTAGCTTGCACACATAATGCTCTCAACTCATGAATACGGCCAGAAATGCAAAGTGAAAGTCGAATAAAAAAATATTTAAAAAAGATTATTATAATAAATGAACTCTAAACACAATTAACTAATTCTAGTAAATGCTTCAAGCCTTCAAAATATATAAAGGAATACGCATTATATAGTCAACTCCTTTCTATTTGCTCTAGGCAAACTTATTACTATTATTTATTATATAAAGTATATTATATATTTTTTTTATCATCTTCTCAACTCTATTTTCTCTACAAATAAACGACTTACTTAATAGCAAGCTTTGACTCTCTGCTAGCTCATATTGAGAATAAAGTGCAGTTCTTAAAATTTTATTGAATTTATTTATTTATTTTTTTTTTTTTTGCGCCAAGCCAATTCTTGTTTGTTTGTCTTTCCCTGTGGGGAAGGCGGCGTCCCACTTCCCGGCCATTGAATTCGCATTCACACTTTGCTTATTTATTTATTGCTGCATTTGCATTGTTATGCACGCCAAAGCAGACAAAAATAAATAGAAAGTAAAACAGAGAAAACCAAAAACAACAACAACAAAAATAATACACAGAGCGCAATAAATTTAAAATCTAATTACGCGCACCATTTAATATCGAAACGTTGGCGGCGGCAACGGAAACGGAAGTGGATGTGTGGAAGTGGAAGTGGATGGGGAAGTGGAAATCGCTGCAAGGCAATGGAATTGAAGCGAACGTGAGGCAAATAAATGTAAAGGAAAAGTAAAAAGAAAAACCTTTGCTCAAATGGCCAACAGAGTGAAAATACCGCAAAACATATAAATAGATGAGGCGTGACCGACACATTTCTGCCCAGGCACCAAAATCTAATTACAAATTTTTGATAAGCTCAAAGTGAAAGAAGAAGAAGAAGAGGAGAGTAGGAGTAGCAGCAGTGGCA